AAGGCTGCATTACATTTCAGACAAGTTGACGTGCAATGCTATATCCGCCGAATGCATAACGTAATAATTCATGAAACCGGCAACCGGCATTTTCCACCACGGACCGAGGCATTAATCATATTTGATGTTTGATACGATGAATAATACATACAGGTTGTAAAGGATTGATAAGAATCGTTATTATATGAGGCGACCTACCCACTTTTCTCCCTGTTGCTGGGTGGATGTAACATTTACTTATTATTATTTTAGTGGAAACACGTTATACTTTATTATTGTGTTGGGTGTTATTCGAGTCGATTCCATTTCATACAGGTTTAGCATAACATAGCAATTAATAAGTATTAAAAAATCGACTTTTATTTCACCTCTGTTTTGGCTTGGAGTTTAGTTTAGTTTGGAGTACAACCAAATTGAGAATCGCATAAAAAATCAAGGGAAAGAATTGAAATTTGAGTTGGAATAGGAGAGAGAATGGAAGAGAGACCTGCCAGACTGCTCGGTGTCAGACGGTCGGTTCGTCAATTTTTTACCAGAGGCTTAAAATTATAGCTAAGCGGGGTAGGGGATGGACATAGATTACGTCATGGAAAAGTTGGTGGGTGGGTTTGGTTCGCTTATCTTGTTCGTGTTAAGCCTTAAGGTTGCATTGCATGCGGGTTTTGAGTCTAAATTATTGTGTCTCAACTTTCTCTTCTTCAAAATAGAAATAAAATAGGCAAAAAATAATAAGTAAAAATTCAATAATTTCTTATGGAAGAAAAAAGTCAAAATTATAACCTCCTAAATTTATAAACCTACAAATTATCGATTTTAAGATGCAATGAAATCTTAATTTTGTAAAAAAAACTCACGGAGATAAACAGATTTCAAAATAACCATTTGAATACATAGAAGAAAGGAAAGTTGAGACACAAAAATTCAAACTCAAAACCCGCATACAGTGGGGCCTTAAGCTTAGCAAGAGTAGGATAGGGGAAGGGCAGATGAGTAGTCTAAAAACCTGCGTTTTTTGCTCCCGTAATAAATGAACGTTCCCTCCATGTAGCTACCACCTTTTGCTTTGGTTTTTCCTTTGTTACTTAGCTGTTATGTATGTACATATATCGTGCTTCTGCTCTAAAAGATTGCTCATGCCACTACCAACCATCACTTGTTGAACAAAAGTTGCAAAGAATAAATTGCAAGAAGAAGAAAACTACTTACCTACCTCTCATCGTGTTGTGGTAACCCATAATTAGTCTGCCCTTTCCTTTCTTCTTTACTCAGAATAACACGAGATGATGATGAGCGAGAGGGCAAAGTCAAAGTCAATGCCAAGATCTATGTAACTAACTTTCATGATAAGATCATGCAAGCAAACTTTTTTTAAACTGAGCTTTGAACCTGGGATTTGTTTTGTCTCACATACGTCAAGAAAATACAACCCAGTATGAAGGATGGGCTCCTCATGGGACGGTATTATTGGCTGTTTTCTTAGGTATTTGATGAAATAAATAGATATTCATTTCATTTATTAGCTTGTTTTATTAGTCATTAAAAAACCGTATCATCAAATAAATGAGATAAAATTATCTATTACGAGGAATCCTATAAGATAATATACATACACTTTTCCTCCTTTATCTATCTTGTAATAGATGGTTTGGTTTCGTCTTTACTTACTTAGGAAATGAGAAAAACGGGGTTTAATGATAGTGCTAATATATTTTTTCAACCAAGTTATTAGGGTTTCAGGCAAAAATAAATTATTAGCTTTCAAACCCTGTGGATTGGATACGACTTTTACTTGACTTTTCTTACAGTGAGTCACGCTATGCTGGATCTCGTAAATGATTGTTTGTTACATAGAAAATAAAAGTACATAAAAATTCGCCATGTACATATTCTTGATTTCATCGGTTAGCTACACAGCAACCAGTGGCCGCGGAAGTGTGGTGTCAATGTCCCCATGGTTATTGGATGTCCGCATCATCTACTTATAAGCCCCTCTCTCCTCTATCCTACAAATTACAATGTTAATGTCCCCACGGCTTCCGCGGCCACTGATAGCAACGAAACGACAGCACTTAAATGCATGTGTTATACGTACGTAGATACAAAGATGTGCTTTCAGCAACCCGGAGCTCAACAGGTTTTTTGACATTCACATCTATTTACCAAGGGCATTTTGTCGATAAGTTTTCATAAATAGGTAACAGCAGAATAATAAGTAATGCAGCTCTCGACTAATGTTTGGCAAGCAGTAATAAATAAATAAATGATAAAGAGTGGAGTGTGCCGGTTTCGTATGCGGGTTTTTTCAGGATGTGTGTTCTCTTCTCTTTTGGCGTAAAGTTCACCTTGGAAAGTTGGACCAGCATCATGCAGTTTTCAAATGACGTCGGTAAAACAATCTTGTCTTATTCGAATATGTATGTGCGATAGTTTGCGCATACTAAAATTCGCCGGTGGACATATGTATGTACATAAAAAATATTAGCTTGGCAGCCCATTTCATGTATGTATGTAGCAGAGTGATGGTGAACACGACATTAATTTAATGTTGCTGCTGGTTTGTCACTTTATATTCAAATTTGCGATGCAGTTTTCAGTACGTAAAGCCAAGTAGAAGACGAGATGCATGTGTACGTAAATGAATGGATGATTGAAATCGTGTAAGGACATATATGTCGTTATAAAAGTATGTATGTAGGACATATACAGATGGAGATATCAGTGGCCGCGGAAGCCGTGGGGACATCTGGGGACATTAACATTGTAGGATAGGGGAGGGAGGGGTTTATATAAGATGGGCAGATAATGCGGACATCGAACAACCATGGGGACATTGTCCCTCTGTCCACACGCTTCCGCGGACATTTAATCTCCTGGAGCATCTTATACGCTGAATTAGTCCTCATTTACTTTGCACAAGACTTGATCATAAAAGTTGTTTTTCTACTAGCTGGATTAGTCCTAACGAGCAAGTGCTGGCTGGCTGGAGAAGTTGAGCTGGTTGACGTAGGTAGAAACTTTTATGAGCTGTTTTGCACAATATTTGCATCTCTAGTTCCTCATCAGCAGCAGCCTGACATGCATCTTATAGTCATGCCATGAATATGAACGAGTCAGTAATAAAATTCGCAACCCTAGGGGCACAGTTGCATTTCCAGCAAAATGATACGATTACGCAAGATGGTCGGGCAAGGTGGTCCAGCTCCAGAGATGGCAAATTGTACTGACGACATCTCAATCCCATTCGCATCATGCTGTCCCAAAAATCTATAAAAATCTGCACTGATTTTATGACTTTTGTCGGTCGGAGGTCGGGTCGTAAATTTCTTTTGTTTTTCTACCTGAACGAAGGGAAATGTGGTTAGCACTACTGACATATATCAGATTTCCATAATTGGGATGAGGTAAGATCGTCATTATGTATATATCGACGTAGGTATGAATTGTTCATTTCATGCGAATTTTTGTTTTAGCATGCCGCGCCTTCAGAGTAAATATTTTTCGGGTTGCATGTTAATATTAACTTTCTGGAGATTGAAGCTTTATAAACGTCATTACGTAGATTTCGTAAAGGAGATTTGGATTGATTAATCTCTAAGCTGCCTAAATGTATGTACGTGATTTGTGAGTTATTAGATATATTTATACGTATGTATTTATAAGTGGTTCTTGGGAGAATAAGTGTTTACGGACATTATGGTTCTTAATTCGAGTGTAGGTGTGTGTGTACGCGAGGCTTGATTTATTGCGGAAATGTACTTATTTTTAATTCGCTTTTGCCCACAAAATAAAAAATAAAACTCAATCCGGTCGAGTATCCTGCCCTTTTCTAAATGTGGTTTGGTCTGTTCAGAAAAAAGCTCCAGCTCCTTCTTGACCAGTGGCCGCGGACAGAAGGACAATGTCCCCACAGTTATTCGATGTCCCCATCTTATACAAACCCCTCCCTCCCCCCCCCCATCCTACAATGTTAATGTCCCCACAGCTACCGCGGCCACTGTTCTTGACTCGATATTGGTCTTCCTCATCATCCTAAGTGAAAAATGGAAGTATGCTTTGATCCATTTATTATCCAGACGAATCATTCCATTTTTTACGCTGGTCCTCATTCAATTCGTTAGCTCGATGTACGCACAACAATATAATTACTCGTCGTCATCATTCCCTTTAATCCAATCCAACAAATTCTCTAGACTTGGACTGGATTGAGTTTCATTTCATGGACTCATCGTTCATTCGTTTCAATGGAAAAGGCAAAATGTCAAAAAAACGCTTCGTTTCCTGCGCCCTTGTTCACAGCTCAGGTCTCACCTCTCATCCAACGAAAAAATGTGTGCTGAATAACCTGGATGAGAGATTTGTAGGTAAAAAAGCTATTCACCACTTTTTGTCTCATTGTTGATAGCATTTTCTGCATTTTGGTTGGGAGCATGATTCTAATGAGATGTGGGTGTTGTGAAGTAGCCCGTGAAGTAAACTCTTCTTATCTAATTTTTTAGAGGTCACACAATATTATTGACAAGCTCAAACTGATGCTGCTGCTGCTTTGCTAAAAATGTAAACAGTGGTTTTTGGTAATGAAGGTCACCTTCTTCATCATCGCTGTGGTGGTAACAAGTAACGGGCGAATGTGTGGTGAATAATAATGAGACTAAAATAAATAGAATGTATGTATGTATGTATGCAATCTAAATAAATAAACCGTTTCCTGTGTCAGGCAGCTAAATTTAAGATAACCCATGCAACTTACTGATATCAATATGATATCAAAATGATACAAAAACTTGGATATGAACATATCCACACGACATCAGTGAGCGTCAGAACTACATCAGTGTATGTCTAGATTGGATCGCTATTTCCCAACTTTTGATATCATAAAGATGTTCACTCCGACATCGCCACGATGTCAGACTAAGTCTAACCGCTGATATTGTTTAGATATCGTATTGATGTCTGATGGATGTCATGCGTTGGCACAAAAATGACATACACTGACATGGTATTATTTTCTTCAAAATTTATTTATTTACTTAACATTCTACAAACAGTACACGCATTAATGATTTTAAGCTAAAAAATTATTTAGTATTGGATTTTTTAGTAGTTTGCTCAGCCTTCAGTCGGTCACCTGCGTGCTGGAACCAGGAAATTACAGCTTTAGCCAATTCTTTCTCTGAAATTTCCGGTTTGGCTTCACCTATGTAATCTATGGAATGAGACATTTACAATCAGTACATATTTATACTGATTGCAATTACTATATACTATAATATTATGCATACGGTACCTGACATGACAGTCCAGCACGTTGTTGATGAAAAATTGTAATTTTGCTTTAACCCTTTAAAGCTAATCCCAAGAGCTAAAAAGTTAGTAAATAGCTTCTTTAGGATGTCGCCAACGACTTCCGGGACTTTTGAGCTACCTCCACGAGAAATGTGACGCTTCTGTAAAAAATACATGATTAATATTTAAATAATTCTCTCAAAAAATAGTTCATATTTATATATAAACAAGCCATCTTACAAGTCTTAGTTGTCTTCCTTCATTGTGCATAAGTGACTCGTCAAATGCGAGAAACTCAGCTAAATTGTCAAATGGTTTTTCAATTATTGGCGGTTCCTTGGATTTTAAATCCTCCTTGCAAAAATTTGTGAGCCTCTTATTTATATTATCCAAGTTAAGTTTAATTAATGCCACGTCCGTAAGAAGTTTGCTCCACTCAGCTAAATTTAATAAAATCATAAAAGTTACAATGTTTATGGAAATAAAAAGTGTTACGTCCACCAAAAAATGTTACCTTTTGGAATATTGGTCACAAATAATGGCTGTGAGGCTTCAGCTACTGTCCACTCCATGTTCTGCCGTAAAATTTCAGAACCTTCGGCGCACTCAACGGTTTAGTTTTCCAACAACGTTCGAAGGATTTTGACTACTTGACCCAGAAGCGCAGTTGAGCTGATCCATGTTTAGTTCACCTATTTTTAATTAATAATATTTTAATACAACAAAAGGAACTAAGGATAAAGTAAATGGGAGAAGATAAATGATAAATGCATTGTATAATTTTTTACTTACCCACGTCCAAATTCGTCATCACAATTTGTGATGATGACGAATTTGCTAGAATAGCACCATCTGCATTCTCAAGTACGACGTCCGCGTTTTCTAATGAATCCGATGTTTTATCATCGGTACAATGTCCAACTAGTGCAAGACTAGGCATTTCCGGAAGGTGAGTTTTGACGACCTCAGTGGTTATTTTCGAATGTGCGGAAGCTGTTGAGAAAAATAAAATTAATGAAATATTAAGAAGGAGATAAGAGAAGCGATAAAACAGACTTTTATTTACGTTTCTGACCTCTTAAATCGTGTAAAACGTTGTCGTCATCTGAGTCCTCTACGTCATTATCGCTTCCAGGAGATGTGAATCGTTGCGGTTTTCTAGTCCTTTTGTGAGGTAAATCATCCGCCTCGGTACTAGATAAATCTGAAGTCAACTCGGCTTGCACAATTTTCTTCCGGGCCTCCTCGTATGTGGCTGAAATAATAACAAAATAACTAAGAACAAAGAACAATACCAACGCAATTAACTAAATCATAAAATATCACACCATATGCATGAAGAATCCTAGCGGCATATCGGGGAAAGGATGATTTTGGGGGGCGGCCGGATTTTACGACTACTGCTGCATTTTTTGAATTTGGCCATGCACACGTCTGGTTGTCGAAATATGATTGTGGCACCACTGCAACCCATTTCTTTTCGTCCTCCTTCATTTCAACAATGTAGAACATCTTAAAGCTGGTGAACTAGTGGAAAGACGGCGATAACTCCTGCAGAGATAGGAAATACTTGGCATTTATATACAACCTCGGAAGCACGAATTTGACAGAGTTTATAATGATTTTCGTCAGCTCTATAAATCTGAAGCACTTTTGACGAACACGGCTGGGAAAATAACGAGTCCAATTTACTGTACTTATGTCCAACTAAATAAATCTCACTGGTATCATTGTCTTGAAGAATGTTAAGAATCCGAAGCACTGCGCATTCACGTATTAACACGAAAGTATCGCGGCGAAGCCTACAGTTAATTGTATAATTCGGTGTAATTAATACGTGATACTGAGTAAAATTTCCAATAGATTCTTCTAGATGTGGTCCATTGTTGTGCTGTGAGGATGGCCCGTTTATTTGAATGTTTCGCGCCTCCAATTTTAGTTCCCTCTCCAATAATCTTTGTTTCAGTTGCTCCAGTGGCAAATTGGGCGTCCTAACTAATTTTCTTAACTGTCCAAGTTCATTTTCAAATTTGAATGTGCTAAATCTGTCCAACACACCAAAATTTTTCACGTCTTCCGCTAAATGAATGAGACCGTGAATGTTGTAAGACACCTGTTCTTCTCCATATAGGATTTTGAAGGCTTGGACAAAGTAAATTAGTAATGACTTTGCATAATTGTTAAGGGAAATATGTAATGTTTCAGAACACAATATTCTAATCGCAATGGATAAACTTAAAAATAAATTGTAATTTTCGTCAGTTATAATATTTTTCAATACCACAGGGCCACAATAAAGTAAAAAGTATCTCAGTTCCGTTGCCTTCCATTTGTCAACTTCTTCTAATGATCGTGGTTGACGGGAAAATTCAGATGAAGTAAATTTTTTGAATACTTTTAATCTTGCTGAAATTTGAGATATCTGGAAAGCTGACAATTTTTGATGCTTTGGTTTACCCTTTATCCACAGTTTCAAAAGTTTTTTGACTACCCCTAAACAGACTAAGTGCATGTAGTCGATAGGGAATGAATTAATCATGTGCAATCCATCTATCTTCGTCAATTCCGTTGTTCCAATATGATGGTCTTCGTCATTTTGTTGGCGAAATTGTAAATCAGTTCTCAGTTCTTTGTTAATTTCGAAAAAACTCATACGCCGATTTATACTCCTTCCAACCGCGCAGCACTTATCACAACCATGGTAGCCATTATGCCCTTTAATTGCCTTCACAAACGACTTTGCCGGCGCGTCGCAAACAAAACACTGTATTTTAAATTTGTCTTTTGTTGTAATTTGTTCTGCATTGACATCCGCAACTAATTTTTGAAGGTATAAGTTGACATTCTCTGGTTTCTTATTTCCACTATAAACTCCAATCACAAATGGATTGAAATTTAATCCACCAAAATATCCCAGTATTGGCCAAAATGATAATGAACAGCTTTTGAAAACTTGAAGACCATCAATATTGATTTGAAGGGGGATTGAATTTAATGTCGGGTGTAGCTTTGTGACCTGCTGAGTATATGTCTTCAATCCAAAATGCACATATTCTCCAGGGACAACTGTTTCTGTAGGGGCGTTAAACTTCACGGGCTTGATAAGAGTTCTGCTGTCTGACGGAAAGGTTTTAAAACAATCATGGGTACCTAGGATTTTTAGAAGTCCAGTTAACTGACTGTGATTAATTGAGTAGTCAAAGGCCCAAGATTTTATGCTTTCTAGGGTTTCAGTAGAGGATGAGGTCACTTTTTCACAATTTTTATAATCACTTTCATCATCACAATCTGAAAATTGGATGGAATTGTCACTAGAACTTGTGGAATTAATATAACTTTCCTCGTGATTATCAATTCCCTCCTCGGACAAACTATTTATTAACTGATCTGGTTCGTGTAACTGACTACTTGATTGATAAGTTATACCAACAGATATTTCGTTAGTTTCTTTTTTTGCAAGTTGTTGTAATCTCTTTTTACCTACTATACTTTTTCTCATTTTTATTGTAAACAAATTCTACTTAAAAAATTACCTTTTTAACAGAACTTGATGTCCACGCCGCTACACTCCAACTTGCACTAATTGAATATTGCGGTTCAGTTTCAACTTGGACCATATCCTATTCATGTCATATCTCGTGATATGTCAACGACATCATAGTCTGATGTCGTTACGATATCATATAGATATCGCAAACTGATGTCGTTTTTAAATCATGTAAATGACGTGCTGGAGACTTGATCACTGATGTCGTTCCGATATCAATATGACAATCGATTCCTGATATCAGGCAATATCTTAGAATGATCTTGTTCTGATATCAGATCGATATGGAATGTTGCATGGGAAGGTAAAATATATATTGTGGAACGAAAGAAATTTTGTATTTGTTCCAGTTTTGTGTGGGATATGTAGCAGAGGTGAGTCGGTTTATGGGTCCGCGGTGATTAAACCCGATCGGGTTCAGAAATTTGTCAGGTCAGGAGAGTCGGGTTCAGAAATTTGTCGGGGTTCGGCCCAGTCGGGTTCAGAAATTTGGGGGGTTCGCCCTTGTCGGGTTAAGAAATTTTCCGAGTTCAGAAATTTGTCGGGTCGGTTAAGAAATTTGCTGGGTCGAGTGGGTCGGGTTCAGAAATTTCGGGGTCGAGTGGGTCGGGTTCAGAAATTTCGGGGTCGAGAGGGTCGGGTTCAGAAATTTCGGGGTCGAGTGGGTCGGGTTCAGAAATTTATCGGGTCGGGTACACAAAAATGTCGGGTTTTCAAACCCTTTTGACCCGACTCACCTCTAACACATACTTTTCTACCTGCCTGAAATTATATTGTTGTTCTGCCGCCGCATGTCATAATTTTTATAATAATGTCATGCATGCGGGTGAAGAGCACAGTGTGGGAATATAATTATGGTCGATTTCTAGCGGATGAGAATCCAGATAGGAATCTTCCTGGCCACGGCACCCCATACCATCCATAAAACTTTGAAGGTGGACCGGCTTCATGATATGAAAAAGAATTTCATTTTTATTCATTTTAATGCAGTTTGTGATGCATTCTTGATTATGACGGCGGAGGAACCACGTCGACCCTGGTCAGTAGAGCAGAACAAACAAGGCAGCATGTACACTTATTCATGGCATGAATGTGCTATTGTTGTGTGTATGGAATGGTAATAAATGTTGCAGAGAGTTTCCTTCCAGAGCTCAACAACTATGTATGTAATCTAAATCTAAGTTATGGATGAAATGAAATGTACAACAGCATGATGTCTGCATGCCTGGTTTGAAACTATATTTTTTCACACACGTACTCATGCCATAACTTATTGCATGCATAAAAATGTATGTATGTACCTCCAAGTGGAGGGAGAAGCGGAATTAGGTCAGTAGGAGAATGGAATGGACATCAATATGTGCTGGCTGTTTTTTCGATAGAACTTCTCATGTCTGTTTTAAACATTTGATAGCACCCACTCGATACGTAGTATGTGCAATTCGATGAGTTATGTAGCGACATAAGTATGCATGCCATATTTATTAATATCTTCTGTGGTCGGCAAGTTTTTAGCCAGAATCGTCAGGGCTTATATTCCCGTCATGGTTGTCTGTCTGTCTATCGATTACGCTGGTTCAACCGACTTGAAATTTTGCAGGCACGTGGAACATGCAAAATTAGGAGGCAAGCTGGAAGATGAGCAAAATGTGTGGAAAAATGAAAAAGTTGTCGTGGTCGTATTATACCCACCTGAATTTTTAATAAAAACATGGCTCGGGCTAAATAAGGCTGCACGCTGGGTTTTAGAGTCCGGAACTTATATACTTACGTCGTGTACATTTAACCATTTGGTATTATAGATTTTGCTCTTTTGAAGTCTTATTTCCCGTCGAAGTGGAGCAGTAAGTACAGAAAAGGTGCATTTTCTGTACGTATGTCATATGTACATAAGTAGTAAATATAGTGACCACATCAAGAAAAAGCAAGTAGCACACAGCGGCGGAAGGAGTTTTGGAAACTTTTATCCATCCAACCAACGAGAGAGGTTATGAATGACAGGAAATGTTACTTTTCGGCAACCTCGTCCTTTATTTGTGTCACACATGTCACCATTTCTTCCCTTCTTCCTGTATTTCATTGTAGTTATTATCAAAATATATGCTGGACAAGATAACATACGGTATGGCGCATTCTTCTTCGGCAAGCATGTCGATTATGATGACTGATAATTTCAAACTATTTCCGAGCAGTAAATATCTGTAGTGGCAAATCTCCAATTTTGCAAGGACAAAGAAGTCCATTCTTTACGAGTGCATAATTGAATGGCAGATGGACATCATGAGTAGCAAGTTCCTAATAATTTCTTAATCAAAGTTTTTTTTTACCCGGATACTCGTTAGCTCAACAACTTTGTTAGTTAGTCCATCCTTTCTTTCTGCAAATATTTTCTTATGCAAATAAGCTGGACATTTTCTTTGTTATGATGACGACGGGGGGTCATGTTTCAGTTGAAAATTGCTAAAAACCATTTGTTTTAAGGCGTCCTTCAACTTATAATAGTTTGCCCTGAAAAGTAGAACAGGAGCATTTTTAAGCCTAACATTTCCACGATTGCAAAATGTCGAGGAGTTGTTTTGTTTGTTATTGTTGTTGGTGTATTTTATTTCCATCGTAAAAACGAAAAGTACCTCTTACTCGCCACACAACCATTAATTTTTAAGTAATCTTCTCTTCTCGAGACACTTATTCACCTTATGGGTGCACATACATACATTGTCTCATTCGAGCCTGCCCACTTCATATAATGTCCTCACTGGCCGCGGAAGGTGTGGGGACATTAACATTGTAGGATGGGGGAGGGACGGGTTTATATAAGATGGGGAGATGATGCGGACATCGAACAACCGTGGGGGCATTGTCCCTCTGTCCGCGGCCACTGATAATGTCATGACATTTAATATGCTGCTGTCTAACCAAACACCACGGCGTGATGGAACCGTACTGTGTATTTTAATTACTACAATGGGCAATTATTTGGCATCAATTTTATCCCACTGTAATTGAAGTAGTGCGCTTTTTAACTACTTTAAACAAGACTGGTCGTCGAGGCAAGACAGGCCAAGAAGAAAATTTACGACTGTCTGTCAGGTTTCCGTGTTACATACATTTGTACGTATAGTATATTTGTATTGTGCTAATATATTCATTGTAAATTAAATACACTCACTGCATTTTTGATTAATAAAATGTGTACCTTTTTTTAAATGCAATAAAAACCAAAGTTGTTCCTTCACGACTTAATGAGTCATGAACAATAATAATAAACATAAATAAAAACGGAAGCTGGACAGACAGAGAGCGATAGTTAACTTTCCGTTTCGATGCGTTTTATTATATTTATTTATATTTATTCTTCATGAATCTTCTGAGAAGGGAGGTCTCCCAGTGGATGCTCTCCGATTTTGTGGCAAATTAGTGTCAATCGATGACAAATTTAATTAGGATGAAATTTGCGAAAGACACGATCTCCCAATGGGAACGTTTGGCAGAGATATTTGCATCCAAACACGAGAAAATGCGCAGTAAATTTAGAAAGTGTAAAATTTGTCGACTTTAAGACGCGTTTTCTCCTCTTCGGATGCAAATATCTCTGCCAAACGTGCCCATTGGGAGATCTTGTCTTTCGCAAATTTCATCCTAATTAAATTTGTCATCGATTCCCACTAATTTGCTCAAAATCGGAGAGCATACTCTGGGAAACTTCCATTGAGATTGACCTTTTTCCAAGAGTTTTGTTACCCTCAGCTGAACGTTTTCTTACGAAAAATGATTACATACTATTTGACTTTCTTATCTTCTGCTCACATTGATGATTAGATAATGTATATATTTAATACTAAATATCTGTAATTCTGTAGGGACACATATGTATGTACACACATAGTTCGGACCATATTAAACTTTGTTTCGCAGTGACATTCATGCCAATTATTTGTATTCATATGTAAATCCACGAGTAGGATGGAATGCGCTTCTTTCTGTCTTTAGAGATTTGTTGTGTTCACAGATAATTAATGCCATTATTTCCTACACGACGACAATGTACGAACGACTGCAATGCCGTCTGGTCATCTTTTATATGTATCTTTGCCGTGAATTGAAGGCTACGCTATTTACATCTTGACCAAAAGTTTATATTACTTACATGCATATTTCTCTTTACATAGGCTTGGTCAGTTGCTGCAGTCTAAAGTTCATGTGTTGTCTGGCTGAAGAATTATTATAAGAAGTTTTCAGACAACCTTGAAATGCATCAATTGTTGTCAATTGTGTCATAAATAATTTGCTTGTAGAATTAATTAAGATAACGCAAAAATATCGACTCCGTTCCAAATTTCTTGTCGAAAAGTGTCTCTACTTTATAAAAAAACGTGATTAAACTAAAATTACAATGGGAACTTTACCCTAATTTGTGGCGACTAATCATAAATAATTTGCTTGTAGAATTAATTAAGATAATGGAAAAATGTCGACTTTTTCATAGGACGACTTAACTCAATTCCGAATTTCTTGTCTCTCATTTCTATCCATTCCCTATAAAAAACGTGCTTAAACTAAAATTCCAACGGGACCAGCTCTCCACTAATTTGCGGCGACTAATGCCATGCATGACCTTATTTTTATACCACCACCACCACCGTCAACCGTACTGAATTACCCATCCAAGTCAGACGAGCTACATACATACAAACTTAGATAACTTGCGGAAGACAACTGTTTTGCGGCTAAAGTTAAACTTCTCCATCGATGCAATTCTGAATTGGAATTGCATTTCATTTAGAACTTCTTCTCTTGTCAATGTTACACACAAATGGATTGAATGAAATGAACTGAAATGAGAACATTTCGTCTGGGCGTGAAAATTTTGCGGTTGTCTGGCACTAATTGACGGCGATAAAGCTGTAGCAGCATTTCCCTTGGGATGGGTTAATTAATTCAACTGCTATGCTACACATAACACAACTGGGGACTCAGATACTGGCGAAGTCGTTGTTGTCACACCGAGCAGAACAAAACCAGCAGTGGCCGCGGAAGCTGTGGGGACAGAGGGACAATGTCCCCAAGGTTGTTTGATGTCCGCATCATCTGTCCATGTTACATAAACCCCTCCCTCCCCTATCCTACAATGTTAATGTCCCCAGATGTCCCCACGGCTTCCGCGGCCACTGGAGTCTCGTATTTGCAAGAGGAAGACGACGACATGATCGAAGAGGAAGACACGATTGATTTGTTTGTTATGTACGACACGAGGTATTTTTGTCTGTCCGCATTATGTATGTGACTGATCCAAATTAAGTTCCAATCGCTTTGGAGCGTGGCCTAATGGTGCATGCAGTTCAGTTGAGAGAACGGGACGTGAAATAAAGTGGAAACAAGGAAGCGAGAAAGTCGTGTAGCCGTGTCATTCTACTTACATTTCTATCACAATCAATCATAAACACAGTTATGTTTGAAAATACAAGGCATCAGAGTTTCATTCAGGTTGCTAGTCAAGTGATGT